AGTTCAAAAGCAGACCCCAGCTGTCATTACCAGTGAGGTCGCTTGTTCAGCTACGCCTGGTACACATTAATAAGTTACACACTGTATAACAAAACATTTCTCTAATTAATAGCCTAAGTTCCACGATGTGCTCCCTGTCAGCAGATTATAACCTTTGAACAGTGATCACAGTAACACCTCAGCACAGACCTACTGAACGCCCCCAGTTTTGTTGATTTGCTCTTACTCACAGACGTGAATGAATGGACTTCTTTCTTGAGAGAAACTACAACGTGATACTTTATAGCAACTGAACTGTGGCCAGAAAGGAAATTCACTGATTTTATTATCCCCAATGGAATCACATGGCATGGAACATGTTTTTAAAATAGATTTATTCCCGCTAATTTTACTAGCATACCAGTATTTCCTTGAAGTGAGCCAGTTTGGCCCTACTTGTTCAGGGACAGTCGGGCATGATAGGACTAGGGGCAGGCAGGCCGTAGAGTCACAAGACCTTGACCACGCTATGTGATGTGGGAATGTGTGCTGCACTAGCTAGTGGCAATGAGAGAGCTGAAACCCTTTCCTCTACACTGGGAAACCTGTGCCTGCCGGCCACTTCATGATTACATAAAACAGGGTACATGTTCCAAAGAAGCGGAAAGCATTATATTCTTTGTTTTGTTCTTCACTGCTCTATTATTAGAATAGCAAATGTTCTTTTCTCACTGAGTACTGTTACCCACGCAGTCCCTTTAGGAGCAAGATGTCAGTACAAATACGGAAGAAACAAGTCAGAATGTATTTAGGTGAGTAGTATGTACTCAAACTAGCTCAGAGCTGAGTTTCATCCTTGGACACTGAAGCAGCTGGCTGACGAAATCTCAGTACCAGGTAGAGTGATCGAGACTAGAAAGCATAAAATGCCCCCTATGTTAAACACGGAGGGAAAGGAAGAGCCTGGGAACTATCCGCTATGTCTGCTTTAGCAAGTAGGGTGACACAGTAACAGTTTACGTGCTTCGAGACTCAGTTCAGAAGTGCACTCTTGATCTGAACTAAAATTTTGATACAGATGCATTTGAACCTTTAGTCGAACACTTGATCCTGCGAAAAAATGCTGGAATAAATAATCAACAAGTTTTGGTAAGTACATAAAAGAAATCAAAGCAATTAATAGCAGTCAATAATAACTTACCTAGAACAAGTCAAATTGGTGTAATTTCAATCTACAAAACCAGGCCTGTGGCTAGAGGAAGATGGAGTAGATACCATGTATCTTAAGCTTAGTAAAACTCTTGACAAGGTCTCACATAGCTTTCACATAAATGAACTAGAGGAATGTGGTTTACATGAAAATATTTTAAGGTGGGGACAGATCTGGTTGCTGTAGGAATAAATGCAAGATACTGCATTTGGGCAGATACAGCCAGATGCAAAGACAGAGGTTGGAAGTATCTGGCTATGTACCAGTTCTTGCAGAAACAAATCTTAGGTCATAGTGAACCACTGGCTGAATTATTTCAATCTTGTGCAAGAAAAGGTAAATTATACAGAGATGTATAAATGAGAGTACAACCTTCAAGGTCTGTGAAGTAGTAATCCTTCTGCTTCGCTCACTTGCAATATTCTGCTTAATTTTGAGTACTACATTATAAGCAGTCCAGAGGAGAATAATGGTGATGATCGGAAGTCTGGAAGATTTGAACTAGGAGAAGGACTGAACTAATGGGTATGATCCTGAAAAGGAAAAGTCTAGGAGTTGAGATGGTGCCTGCTTTCAAATACGCATATGCCTGCTGAAGAAAGATAGGAAATAATCTATTCTCTAGATCTGTTTCGGATAAGACAGGAATTAATGGACTTACATTGCAGAAAAGAAGATTCAGTACAGACTAGGAAAAGCTTTGCTATCATATGAATCTCTAGATTGCCTGGACAAGTCATGCAGTCAACATTACTGGTAGTCGTTAGGACTGGGTTAGATACATGTCTATGAAGAAGGACAAAGGTATTTAAGATACTTGCTTGGGGACCATTTCAGCCCTATGAGTAAAAGATTTGCTTTTGATGTGAAGAGAAAAAAAAAAGATTAAAAAGGTTTTAATTATGCACAGACTTGTAAAAAAAATTCTTACTAGATGAACCTCATTTACAAGATCTATGACGTATGCCAGATCTTGTAATGCCATTTCTTTTCTCTGTAAATGAAAGTTGAATCCAGACTCAGCTCCCTGCTTGGGATATTCCTGGACTACGAGAAAGTACTGAACCGAATTATGTAGCCAAAATATTATTATTGATAAAACGTCCAATTTTCACAATGTGATGAACCAAAATACAGCTGGTTTTAACCCATTGCTGCTTAACATGTAGGTATTTTGAATATTGTAACAATTCTCTAAGAAACTCTGAAAGAGATTCAATACAGCATATGATTTCTCATTCTTCAGTTGTTAACGCCTTGTATATTTTCTTTGTAACATAATACACTATACAGGTGCCATCTCTGGCTACTTTAAAGGAATTTCTCAGACAACTGCACAAAATCATATGATTTAGAGTAAAAGTCAGTCCATAAAACTGACCTCAAAAGGACTTGTATCTTTCTTCTCAACAAAAAGGACCCTTGTTCGCAGCAGAAGTGCACCCTGTAGCTGTTGTGTTTGTTCAGAAGTTGGGCAGGCATTTGATATTCCTTTTTGTTATATCTATGTCTAAAAGGGTTGACAGGTAGGATCTAGCAAACTAGTTGTGCCAGGTTACAAAGTTAGCACTGACAGCACTTTTTTTAGACCCTCCTGGAGATTCCTGCCTGTACAGCAGAGTTGGCAGCTCTCAGCAAGACCACCAGACTTTGCACTGAAGTTGGTCTTATTCAGGCACATGTTCTGTTGAACTCGGTCTGTTGTGGGCACAGCAACCTCTAACAGAAGTGTAATGCTAAACAGGTAGGAACTTAGATGTGACAAAGGCTTGAAACTCTAGAGTTAAAAAAATTTCAAAATTAAGTGCATGGAAAGTGGCCTGCAGGAAATACGGTACTTAGCAGCTTACGGCTACTAGTTTCAATCTCATCCAAAAAAAAGAGGCCTGAAAGGTGCTGCCTTGATCTGTGTAGTAGAACAGCAAGCTGCCTCTCTCTGCTCAGTTTCTTTGAACAGATGCCCACTTCAGAAAGAAGAAACAACCCCCCCAATGATTATTCTTCTAAAATGCCCGCCTACAGCTGAATATAACTGGGAGTGTTTCCTTTGGCAGTGGTAGATGAGGTCCTTCTGCTCTGCAACACATCTTAAATAACCTGAGGATGACTTCAGTGAACTGCATGTGATACGTTTCCATTATGGACTGAGACCCCGAGTCTCCAGGAGTGACTTTACAATGCTGTTCAACGGCCTCTACTTTCCCTTTTCCAAATTACATTAAAAACCAAATTCCTGTGCAGCCTTACATTGGTAGTGTATTACCACATTATTTTGTCCATCCCGTTTCTGTAGGTAAGTTCGTATAACTTCACATCGGGTGTTTTTATGCTTTAATACACTTTTTAGGAGGTGGAAAACAGAAGCGAGGAGTGAGGGAAGGCTTCCCTTCCCACGTAACAAGGCTCCGGTGAGACTACTCTGCCCTCTGCCGGGACTCCTTACGCGGGAAGGGCATGACGCAGGGGAAACCACCGAAGTCTGAGGATTTATGCTGGTGGATGTCGAAAAACTACTAAATCGGGTCGCCTGGTGCTTGTGCAGCTCTCCAGACACAGGCTGCAGCGCATGCTCGGCTCCCAGCTGCGAGGGCTTTCCAGTACCAGAGCGAACCACCTTAGAACCACGTCGTTACGTGCCGGCAGGAAACGCAGCCGCACCTTTGACTAGCTTTTTTTTCACATGCGCCAAGTTATTGAGCAGAGATAGCGGGGCCACACTCGTACCGCGGGGCGCTAGAGACCCTCCATCCCGCCTCGAAAGCGTTACCTGAGGAGACGCTGGGCGCCTTCCTCCCCCCCCTGCCCAGGACAGGGCTTTGCGGGGTACCCCGTGCCAAAAAGGGGTACCGCGCCCTCTCTTCACAGGCAGGAGGATGGGCGCCTCACCCCCACCGCCCCCAAACCGAGGCGTTCTAGGTGCCAGGCCCCTACATCCAGACAG